TTCCTATCGAAATTCTAACAAACTTGTTATATAGATAAATGTATATATTAAATATATTGATAGGATATTAATGTTACTAAGGAACAAATATTCTTCCAACATTGTTTCTTCTTATGATTGGTGTTGAAAACTGCAACGCGTGGCCAGTCAAAGTCTCTTTTACTTCCTATAATCATAAGTGTCGTATTCAATTGTGAATTTGCCGGATAGAATTGATATAAGAAAATTTACAACATGAAAACGAGTAAAGGAAAAGCTCCATACTAATAAATGTGAGTATTATGATTGATTGATTGTATGTTGTTTTACGTCACATTCGAGAATTTTTCACTCATATAGAGACGTCATCATATACCGGTGAAGGGCTTCATATTTTGACCTTTACTCGGCACTCAGGGCCATGGAGCAGTGAGGGATCTTTATCGTGCCAACGTCTGCAGTGACACGGGGCATTGGTTTTTAAGGTCTCATCCGAAGGACCCGCAACTGTCACTTCAAAGTGCTGAGCGCATAGCGAAGAAACAGTTGCTACCCATTTTCTATCGACTTAGGTTAGTCGCCGCCGAGATTCGAACTCACGACCTCCCGATCACGGAGCGAGCGCTCTACCGACTGAGCTACTGTGAACGATGTGAGCATTATGCAAGTGAAAGCTAGAAATGCATTGTCTTAAATTTCATTAATATTGTAGTTAATGATCCTCGTCGTTATTCAAGAAACTCTAGCACTATGTTGTTTGAATTAAAAGGATTTATATGAATTAATTTTTTAGAAGGTCCTTTCCTTGTGCTAAGAATATTTGAAAACTTATTTGGAAGGCTTTAAATGACCATGTTTTGTTCACTTGTCGTTTTTCACTATTGAACAGACATTTGGGCAGCGCTCTTAGTGGTATAGTTTGGCTCTTCGTTTCCTATGCACAGTAGTGTTCAATTTATTGAATTCAAACAGCCAATCAATGAGTTTTATGGGGTCAACAAATTTAACTTTAGCAAGCTCGATCAAGCGAATTGACACGCTGTTATCGGAATAACGGAAAGATAGTAATCTCCATATGCAGGTGATAATACATGTAGTATATTGCTACATAAGTAAGGGAAGATGAAGATAGAAAAGTTGAAGTCATAACGCTTATCATAAAGTTTAGTTATAAGTCTGTCCTTGTCCTTAATGTTTTTCTCAAGTAAAATGTTCTAATATAAAACAGGTGTGTCAGACTCTATGATGTCTTATTTTAAGTTCAAAGCGATACAATGTAGGCACGAATAGGATTAAATGATTATTCTTTTTTATGCCGAGTCGGCAATATTTCAGCCATTTTTGGGCGGGAATGAAAATGAAATATTGTTAATGAATATTATTAACTGATAAAACGTCGTCGATATATCTAAATATGGAAGTGAAGGCCACAGCAAGAAACTTCTTCGTTTCATGTCGAAGTTTTTGAATAAATTCTGCTTCATAAGAATACAAAATCAGGTCTGATAAGAAATTTCTCTAAAAATTCCTTGGAGTTTTTAAGTATTCACATCTCATTAACACCTCTTCTTGAATATATTGTTGTACAATCCTCATGAAGTTGGATTTTTTAATGACATATTTTAATACCTTTCTTGGAACGGTCTTTACGTAGTACGTTGGTACTACTTAACAGCCTTAACTTGTTAAGTAGAGCATAATTTACGACACATTCATTAACACGATGAGTATCGATACCATTAAAACAGCGAGATACGGTTCTGTAATATGTAAACAGTGCACTGATGTATGCATTTTGTCATAGAAAATGCAATGTTAAATTTCGTTATTTCGATTTTTTTTATATTATATGTTATCTTGCTTTAGCTACAAAGGACATTGTTGTAACGAAATACTTCATAGTGCCTCCATAATATTGATTTCATTAAGCAAACACTTGCACAGATCTAATTTTTACTCCATGTGAACGTGAGAGATTTTTTGATTTCATCTGGTAGTTTATTCAAGACACAAGTAATATACTGTAAGAATCATATGGTTGGCCCATGATTTCTAAACCTCTAATCTTTTGATTGTCGTTAAATATTGTTCGATGTTTTTCATATAGATTGTTAGGGCATTATTTTCACACTGAATTGTCTACAGATTCTTTCGCTGTCCGATCATGACAAGGAGCACACGACGGGTATGACCGGACAAAAGGTGGAGGCACCTAATCCCACTCTGGGATTTCTGGAGATCTGTATTTTATGCCCTGTTTTTATTATTTTTTTTTTTTTAGATCGATCACTGTTCGTTATTTTCACCTTTTTCTTTCTACATGTATAATTAACATTTATAAAGTTGCATTCACTTTTATTCTGTCTTCAGTTATGGAATACCTCAAATTAAACATTCATGTAGTAATGATACCTTTTCATCATACGATTATATTTGACTTTGTGTGTTGACACAATACTTCATTTAAACAATAAAACGATAACAGTCATGCATTGCCAAAAAAAAAAAAAAAATGCATAACCCGCTTAAGGTGGTATGGGATACCAAACGAAACTTCTCCTACATATTTATGTACCCAAATTAGAAGGATTTGAAATACCCCCACCTTTCAGTATATTAAAGTGTAATTTTAATAATTTTTTTATCATTTTAATGAGAAATACAAAAACGATTTTTTTTCTTGCATAATTCTTTTTTCATAAGCTTAATATTATAGGCAGGCGTTTGCTAATATAAAGTGTTTATAAAAACAAAAATGACAAGAAATATGTCTTAGTATTTTTTTTAATTTTCAACAAAAAATAAGCGTAAAAAACTGGGAAAACTTTATTTCTTGAAAACAGACGGATAACATTTCATGAAAGTCTACAATAAGAATGTATCTTAATATGTTAGCAAAGTGAAATAAACAAATTGAAAATATATATATAAATGGAAAATATAAAATGCATTTAAAATTTTTTTGAATTAAAAGATCCGAGCGGAAGAGTTATCCTTCTTTATTTTCCAAGGGTTGAAAAAACCTGGGTGCTATTTTAGAAATGATGAGCATTTTTTCCCAACCATAAAAAAATCGCACTTTGTAGTTTTCAACTTTGAGCGGTTTTGAAAACAATGCATGGACAATCGCTTTCCAGGACGTGTCTTGTTCAGAGCAATTGCATTCATCTGAACGTTTTGGGACTATATACAACAGCTAGCTGATTTGTGACCAAACAGTTACTTCTTGAATTAAATAACAAAAAAGTCCAGCTCTGGTTAACGTGATAATTGACTGGTGATAATTCAGCACAATGTGAAGTAATCGCACTTATCCATGCCTCACCGCACACAAGGTGCTGTACAGTTACTCAAACAATTGAAATACAGCTTTTGTTTAAAAGTGTTCAAAAGCAGCAACTACCTTTTACAGGGGTTTGCTTTTTTAAATGTCCGTTGTACAATTATAAGTAAATTTATATACTTGCGATTTTTTTGTCTGTTTTTACTTAAAATGCCGACTTGTGAGAACTTGCATTGAAATAGGCTTCAGAGTGTTCTTTTCAACGGTGTATCTACAAATTTTGACCCGATAATAAGCACTCATGCAAATCAAAACAATACTTCAAACGGAAATACGTCATAACGTGGAGGTATCCCATACTACCTTAAGCATTGTTAACACTGCATAAGCAAACAAATACATTTTATTGCTTATATTTATATCTGTATATTGTTTTCTCATATACAGTAAGTGAAAATACATAAAATAATGTATAATTGACCCAACATTATTTGATGCAAACGGCTACTAAAACAGTTCGAACTAGTTTAAAGTTAATCGACTGATGAAAAGAATTGGATTTCTAAATGATTACATGTAAAAGAAAAATTATGTTAGCTTTATGTCAATATTACTCGATAATCCTTTTTATAGCTTATACTTCTTCATTATATATGCTGATAGAAAAATTATGTTAGCTTTATGTCAATATTACTCGATAATTGTTTTTATAGCTTATACTTCTTCATTATATATGCTGATACTTCTTTTAATTATACATACTTTGTCATTATACAATATGTTACATTATTTTAACATGTTTTTCTGATACTTTCGAATGTGATGATATTTGTCATTCTCAGAAGTAATTTATAATATTTAGACTTCTGGAAAGCAAAACAGGAACTCATTTTTGTATGTTGATAATTGTATACATGTATATTAGACAAACAGGAACGACTGCAAAACATGGTTATGAATATTTTGAAAGGAATAAATAAAAATAAGAGAAGAAGCAGAATCATTGTAAATGAAACATTTGATTTTTTCTCTGATTTTTTTATTGGCTAGTGAGTTTGCTTTTTGAAAGTAATGCATGCAACAGAAATCATTAAAACTGAAACCACCTGATACACATTTCATTTTATAATTCATTGTCAAAAGTATGCAATTTCACGAATCAAATCACCAGAAATCCAGATTGCTAACGAAATTTGAATTTCCCATTAAATGTAGATGCTGGATTGTCACTAGAGGGTTTGATTAATAAACTAATTAAAATATTAATCAATAATTAAATTTAACAGGTAATTTGATTTACATCATAGTAATATTAGTTTATTGATCTGAATTACTTGTAGAGATAGCAAACAAATTTATGATCAACAGTGCTGAAGAACTAAAACAAACATTTATTTATTATATTTCCGTTGTAGTAACATTTTATGATTGATTATGAAATGAAATTATTGATTTTACTTTCGTTTACATCTATATATAGATTTAACCATTTCCCAATACCCCCTATCACTAAAGAAATAAACAAAAGGATTAATAACAGCATTTACAGCCACTGTATCTGTAGCATACGTATAAAACGCATCTTCTCTAACAGTCATCCTACTGAAACTAGGGTCTGCTCTCTTAAAAATCATAAATATGTAAAGGCTAAGAAACAGTATATAACTTAACATGATTGAGATAGAAATCACGAGGATCGTGAGAGTAAATCTGAAATTCATGGATGCAGACTCTTCACCACCGCTGATTCCATTATCCTTTTCATCCACGTCGCCATTTTCGACAGTGAGAGCTGAGAGTGTCCTATTTCCCGCCCGAGAGGTGGAGTTACATGTATTTTTCTGTTCAGCTTTCTCATCTGAAATATTTCTGTTATCTTTAACTTCTCGATTTGTGATACCATAAGCTGAATCCATTTTTTCTGTCTCCCCTGTATTTTTGCTTTCTTTGACATTTCCTTTACTTCCCGACTTTTGACCTCTTTCCGAGGAATTGTCACCATCATCAATAGTATCTTGCACCATAGACGTTTCTGTCTGCTCCCTGTGACATGATTTCATCTCTCTCTGATTCCCTGTAATTGTTGTGGCAACTTTTAATCGACGTAAAACTTTGGCAATTCTTAAATAGCAAACCCCGATAACTAAACAGTCGACAATAGATAGTGCAAACAAAGATATGAAATAAACCATTGGAAGACTTTCAAAGACCTGCTCCTCTGCAACCCAGCATCTATTTATCTGATAACCCTCGACTTGGAAAAATTGAAAACCGACAATAAAAGATACGGGGATGCTCAGAATTGCCGATATAACACAACACCCAACCAACTTTATAATAATTTTTGGAATAGTTGTCTGCCTGGTTCTTGGATTGAAAAGACGTTGATGTCTATAAATAGCTAAGACTAGGACAAATAGTGAAGAGGAAAGTCCAGCAGCAAATCCAAAGTAATTACTAATTTTACAAACGATCTCCAAGTTATTGTTCAAGACGTATCTCAGTCTTTCATATTCTTTTGCAATAAACAGCACCAATGTGACTAGATCAAACACTGCCAAAACAAATATGATGGCTTCCGATGGAGTTTTCTTTCTCGGCATTCTCCGGAAAATATGGATCACGTGACTATTGCCTACGATACCGATAACGTAAAAGACGAGAACAAGAACACCGTACGGAAGTCTGGCCAATCGCTCTCTCTCAACTAAGTCTAAGTATGATTGGTTCGGGGTAATGTTCGAGGCATTCATAGTTCACTCGATCTGCAAACGTAAGAAGACTGTATATGTTACATATTAATAATGTAACAAATATTTAAAGTGGTTATCGCATTACAAAGTTTATGATAAGATATGATCTAATAGAACAAAATTTATGTAGGCTTAGTTATTTAACTTTTTTCATTTATTTGACAAGTGATATAATTATATGTAAATTAGTCGGCTGAAAAATGTTTTCTAGGGGTGTTAATTCTCATTGTTTCACTCAATTATATGTAAGATTAAAATCAGATTAAATATTTGTTTCTATTATCTGTTGAAGTATAACCGTCGCTGGTCTAAAATTACAGATTCTCATACTTTATTGCGGATAGACTACTAGTAATTGCTAAGAACACAGATCAACTTTCTTTTATTGGACTTTGCATTTAACTTCTATCCAAAATAAATTATTTTTAGAAAAAAAAAAAAAAACAAGAGCCATTCTAAGAATGAACGTTAATAAGTACCCTATAAAGTGAAACATGATTTCAAAATTATTTGCAATTAGCAAAGTTCAGTAGAATTTATTAATGTCTGAACAATAATAAAATTACTTTATTGTAGTATTATACTTAGTTTTCCCTTTCTACCCGAGAAGATCTCTAGATAGTTAGAATTGCACTTAACAATTATACCTTACCTGATATATTGGAAGTAAACTGATGAAGGACTGATCAAGTAGCCATACCTGTATAGAAATGCAGATGTTTAACATGACAAAGGTTGTTGACATTGCGCATGTTGAACTTCACAACAAAACATTAAGGATTTAATTACATTAAAAATACCTTGAATCCACGTCATGTAGACTTAAAAGATTTACCCCGGCTATTTAAAGGATTAGCAGGTATTCAATATAATTTAAAAGGTTTATGTCATAAGTCTTATAAAACATAAAAAATAAAATCACAAATTATAGAATATCCAAAAGGAAAACAAATACGATTTAACATTTATGAAGTTTTTATTTGAATATTTAAGACTTTTGAGAGAAATATGTCACAATCTGTTGAAAGTATCTAAGAAATTCAATGTGAATAAAGCAAATTTAGATACCATCTAAAACTAGTTATATTCTGCTATCACCTGCGAATGGTGTTTATGTTTCCCAACTTCGATACTGAGCATGCCCACAGTACGATCAATTTTTAAACCGAGGCAGGTTACTGACAGATAGGTTGATGTTATAGGAATTTCAACAACCTCGTTTAAATTCAGGATTTCGTAGATTCTATGGTCATTATCACTTTGTTAGCAAATACAACCTATCCTTGGGTTTGTATTATGCCTGACGTATTTCATACCAATTATAAGGCCTTTATATTCATACTATATTTGACTACGAAATGTTCCATCTACCTTATTAATTCCTAGGGCTCACAGCGGGTGTGACTGGTCAACAGGGGATGTTTACTCCTCCTAAGCACCTGATCCCACCTCTAGAATTTCCAAAGATCCGTGCTTAATTCCTTTTCGCAGATTTGTATTGTTTGTAGATTTTTTTTTTTTAGATCGATCACTGATCCTTATCTTCACTTTTTTGGAGAATTTCATGGAGATTTCTATTTTATTCATCATGCCAAAGTTGTTCGTAAAAGTAAAAAAAAAAACTATACGAACATTATTGTGAAAGAACAGATAGTCAGACAGGCGACAGACTCCTTACCATCACATAAGCTCTTCTTGTCTTTGACTGGTAGATCTACATATAATATATGTAAAAAAAAAAAAGAGGAAAATATATGTATTGAAATTTTCTTAGGGAACTTTTTTTTCACATATATGCTACTTCATAATGTTACATAGCATCAAGTTGGTTAAATTCAAAATGCACTACTAACTGTAGGTTCAATATCAGTTCAATTCTTTATTGACACAACATGGAAAACCATTTACTGAACAATAAAAGCTATATAAAATGTGCAAGTAAAATACACAATTACATAAAATTATGCCTCATCTGAGAAACAGAAAAAGCAAAAATCTTGACATACATATTTCAGTTCAGCTGAGCATTTATAAGAAATCCGACCTTACAACGTCCTGACATTTGATTTCGAAACCCAAACCTACTTGAATGAGATGTGTAAAAAGATCCAAGTAATTAAGAGTTTAAAAGCAAGATTTCAAGTGCTTTAAAATTGTTTTATTCTAAATGACCCATCGTAGATTCTTTGTTTTCTTTTATAGATAGATTTAACCATCTTCCTGTATTTTCTATCACTAAAGAAATACACAAATGGATTTACAACAGCATTGAGAGACACTATGTCGGTAGCATAAGTAAAAAATGCATCCTCTTTAACAGATATAATTCTGAAATTCGGATCACTTCTCTTGTAAATTACATACATATAAAGACACAGGAACAGAATGTAGCTAATCATAATGGTAACTGTAACAATCAGAATTGTGATAGTAAATGAGAAGGCTTTAGAAACATCCTCCTCGCTAGCTACATCATCTTTGTCATCTTGCTTCTTGATTTCAGTTGTAGAGGTTGTGCATCCATCTTGTTTTCCATTTTTCTCAATGTTTGATTCAGAGTTAATAACGTTATTCATCTTTTCTTCGATGTGTTCTCTCTTAGATACGTTGCTTTCGTTATGGATTTCTTCCAATATATCTCCTTCGGTGACTGTTTTCGTTTGGTCGTTTATGTCTGTTTGGTCCAAATTGCGAGTGGTCATTTCAGAAGCTGACATCTTTTTTCTTATAGCAAGATTTGACTGCTGTAAAGCCCTAGCAATCCGTATGTTACAGATGCCCATGATACAACAGTTTAAAGATGCAAAAACAAGCAGAAATATATTGTAAACCTCGGGAAGTGATTCTATTGCCTGTTCCTCAGCAATCCAGCATCTGTTAATATTAAAACTTTCCAATTGGAAATACTGAAAACCGACAACAAAAGGAACAGGAATACTGATGATTGCAGAGGAAATAAAACATGCGATCAACTTTATTACTGTGCGGGCAACGGTCGTCTGCACACTACCTGGGTTGTACAGTCGTTGATGCCTATATACAGATAATACTAGAACATACAGCGATGAAGCAAGACCGGAAGTAAACCCGAAGTAATTGGTGATTTTACATACAATCTCGTTTCTATTGTACAAAACATAATGGAGTCTTTCGTATTCTTTTGCTACAAACAAAACCAAAGTCAATAAATCAAACATAGCTAGATTCATGATCACGGCTTCTGAGGGAGTCATCTTCCGTACCATCCGCCGGAAGATGTGAATCACGTGACTGTTGCCTATGATGCCAATCAAATAAAAGAGGAGGACTATCACTCCGTATGGAAGCCTTGCTAAACGCTCTCTATGAACCAAGTCCATAAAATGAAGGTCGGTGCTTACGTTTGAGGTATTCATACTTCTCCCTACAGAGATAAGCTATAATCTAACAATTTGAATTAAACGTATTAAAGAAAATTATGCACAAAAAACTATCCTGAACAAAGTTAAGAAATAAAATGCTTTATGTAACTTTTATCATTAAAAAAAAATTGTAAAACGTATATATAGTGAGACCTAGAACAAGCTTGTTTAATTAGGAACATCTTAAGAAAAAATGCTTGGGTTTTCCCCAGGAGAAATGAATTTCAAAAGAGTTTATAGTCCGCAAGTACATTAGAGACAACTCGTCTCTTTTGTAGGAAAAAAAAATTTCTTATAAAGGTATGGGACAATATCTCTTCTGATCAATTTGGTGTATAGTATTTACAATATTTCCTAATATTTTTTTTAATATTCTCTAAATTTCTTTTTCTTTTCTAGTGTAACATATGTAAGTAAAAACAAATTATTTAAAAATTCGTCTTGTTCAATAGTTTCTGTCTATTCAATCATATGAATAAAGAGCCAACTTTCGCATTAGTCATCATAATAAAGTATTACTTTAAATTGATAAATGAAGATCTTGTTTGACTTATTAAAGAAATTGCATTTGAACAAGAATTGTTTTAGAAATTTATCATTCTAAAATGTTCTCACCTTGCTTCTCAGGTTTTTCGTTAAGGAATTGGCAATGTAATGAAGGGAAAAACAGTATTTATAGCAAATCAAAGGTTAAATGTTCAGCAAAATACATACAAAAAGACATAAGCATCATATATCACGTGACTATAAGGTGATTGATTCCTTGAGTACTCTGTGTATTAAAAGAAGGATGGGTCAAAAATCTATTTATATCCAGTTGAGAATAGCGTTAATAGATCAGAAATGAGAAAAGCGTGTTTATCTTTTATGATGTTTTTCAATATTGTAGACGATATTAAGAGATATTAATGAAAATGCGATGTTCAAATGAACATCATAGAAAACCATTTAATGTATTTTTGCTCAAATACAATACAACGGACAAAGAGCTTTAGTAATAGATCACGAGAGAGAGAGAGAGAGAGAGAGAGAGAGAGAGAGAGAGAGAGAGAGAGAGAATAATCTGAAAAAAGTGTTCTCTGGTACAGATGTACCTGTAACTCTTGTGGATTTGATATACCTTTCATAAACAGAAGAGGAATCTAAGATATTCAGCGGACCATACAATGTATTTGATAAAGGTGGAATTCTTCTGAATGTTTAGTGACAAGTTTCTGATTTAAGGAGGCTGAATGGTTGACAAACAACCCACAGATCCATCATAAGATATAAAATATGATTTTGCAAGCTATAAACTATTATTAAGTGAAGAAAAAACAGTGTTCAAATTATATTGTTACACCTTTAAGAATTGGTTCCTTTATAAAATTTCTTTTAAAAAAGTCTAATATTTCCAATGTTTTACTGGGCGGTCAGAATAAATCGATGTTTGACCGCAGTGGGAGATATTGGACCTGTCGATGAGATATTGGACCGTTTACGTCACAGTGGGCGGGATAGGTGAAATCTTCTTTGCATTCGTTGGTGTTCAACAATGACAATATTGACAGAGCTTTAGTGCAGGTAAAGGAAATTTTACATCTCAGAAGCCAACACAAGATACAAAAAAAAGGTATAACAAAACATTTCTTGACTGGGTTCGAGGGCAAAATGCGTTTTGTTGACCCCTCAAACCAAACTGTTTACCTTCGGGCTACCGGCTTTTTAACAGTTTGGTTCTTGGGTACGACAAAGCGCATGCTGTCCTCGAACCAAGTCAATAAATGTATAATCTTTAATGTAATTTCGTAAAATTTTTATACAGAGCTCTTCTTTTCCATGAGATTTGAATAATCTTAAAGTGTCCATGATTACCCACTCATATAAAATTTGGCTCTGTTTTCTTTTCATAAATTAATACAATTATACATTAATATATCAACATGAAGTTATAAAATAATTAATATAGTTAATTTTATTTTCATTCGACCTGAGGTGAAAAGTTCGACAATGTATGCCCAACCATTTAAATTGTTTTATTTTTCTGATTATTTTTCACTGGAGTAATGCTTTTATACCATGGCATTAGAAAGGCTTCTATTCGAAAAACCGCATACCACGATACTAAACTTGCTCATAGAAGAGTGGTTGGAATCTTCGGTTTTTAGTTCCTTCACCCCCCCCCCCCCCCTTATTCAAATTAAGAGTTTGAAAATAACGGACTGAAATAAGCGTTAATTTTAACAAAAACAAGATTTCCAAGTTCATATTCAAGTTCATTTATTCAATCAAAATCATCTAAATATATGGTACATGAGAACAATGTTAAATATTTACAGTATATAAATCCAGATCAGAGATACAAATATATGATATACTTATTAAAAAATGATATTGGGGGACAAAACGAAAAAAAGATAAATGTAATGATGGTATAAATGAAGAAAATAATCATGGAGGACAGATTATATCGTATATTTTTAATAAAAATATACAGAGTTTTTCCAATTAACTTAGTATCTTGTTTTGTTATCAGGTGAGAAAATTTAAGTACATGTATATTTGGTCAAGCAAAGCAGTGTTCATTAAGATATTTTTTCCGAATATTTGACAATGAAGTACATTCATATATAAAATGGAATTCGTTGTACATAATCTTTCATTTAATTGTATACTTGCCCATCTTCCCAGCTCAACTGGTAGACGGTGATTAGAAGTTCGAAAGTTTTAAAGTATTTTCTAAATCTTAATGACAAAATACTTAATTTTCACATTCAAGATTTTATTTATAAAGTTTATACACAGCACCTTTTGATGAACTATTAATATCAGCATGCCATTTTTGTATAAAGTGATCCTGTAATCTTTGCTTTGCAACAGTAGTAACCAAATTTTGATTAAGTCTGTAACAAGACTGATCATTTCCAATATTAGATGATCCACATGAATAAAAATGCGATATACACAGTCGATCCATGGGTTTATACAAATCAGATTTCGATTCAGCGATTAAATATTTATATAATATACAGGTAGTTTTATTTCTGGGGCTATGAATTAATTTACACCAGGATGATACTATTCTGGAATAAACAATCATTATGACAGATAATGGGAAGCGTCCTGCTCACCATAAACCATAAAATTTGGGGTATTACTTTTAAGGTAAAGTATATGTTTCAAAAATTTTATATAAACACGTTCAATAATATCAAGGTTTTCAATCCCCTTGATTTTACAACCATAATGTAACACTTGCGCAGCAATTTTATCGAACAATTCAAATTGACATGCTACAGGGAGGTAAAATTGCCTAATTTTTCTGATTACCCAATACATTGCTTTTTGGGCTTGGTTCCTGAAGGTAGGTCCCTATTCGAGTGACGTCATCAATTAGTATTTCTTTATTGAAAACATATAATTATCAATAATAGAATAATTGTAATTATTTAAAATGATATTGCATTAGAAGCAGTGAAGTGTGTATATAATTCCATGTCTAGAAAGGTTTTGATCTTCAACTTTACAAAATGTTGCATTTGACGTACATACACATGCACATTGCACAACTTACATCTACAGTATATTCATACACATATCTGCAATAATTACTACTTTCATTAAAATAGTAATGTAGTTTTTTTTTCTGAAAAAAGAGAGTCTGTGTATGAAAATAAACAAACGAAGTCTTTTAGCTATTTTCTAAAGAAATATGTTCCATTGATAGTTTTCAAGTTGATGGTGATTGGCTTATAGAGAGTATACATGTTGATTTATAGGGAGTATACATCTTCAACATAATATTAGCTTTTAAAATAAAATAGATGTAAATCAAATATTTCATAAAGGAAAAGAATGTGGTTTTGTGATTTGATATACTTTCCCCATAATTTTTCATCTTTTGTTATTATATCAATGAGAGCGTCGTTATAATTTTGAACTTTAACACAATAACAGAAACATAGCTATATATTGAAAAAAAAAATGCTCTTATTTTCTGTTCAGGTTTGCCAATTTTTTTCCAGTTGAGATCATGTGATGAAAGAAGGGGTATACGTTTTCTACAGTTTCTGGTCAGGAACATAAGCTGTCAAGATGTGTATGTTTGGCTTGTTAATTACATTAGATGTTTATTTAATGATTCAAAATGGGAAAAAAACATTACTTTGACAAAAAATACCTTATAAAGAGCTAATTGTAAAACAATTTTACTGCATATTTGTTTCATAAATAAAGATCTTTTTGCTATCCATTAAAATGGTAAAATAAATATTATATATAACACTCCGATAAAGACTTCTCTAAATCTAACTGTAAAATAAATACTTATGACATTAAGAGTATTCAACTTTTTGGATATTTTGCTATAATTAGGGCAACAGTAATGTATGTAGCAGAGTTTTTTTTCAGTACTAAACTGTGTTTAGATATAGTGTTTCTTTTTAGATTGTATTATTTTTGTTACAAATCAGAGACAAGAGGCCAATGGATCACATTGCTCAACTGCGCACCGTGGCGAGGAAAAAAGCAAAAACTAGTTCAGTATTGAAAATATAAATGCATAAGTGGCCCCGGCCTACTCCTACAAAAGGGGGATATGATTTGACCAAACTTGATACAACACTAAGGATGCTTACACATTTCTTTGCCAAACTGTGGCTTTTTTCCTATAAGTTTGAACTTTCAATGTGGTCCCATCCTATCCCCGGGGGTCATTATTTGAACAAAACTGAATCTACACTACCTGAGGATGCTTCCTTATAACTAATCATGGCTTTGCTGTTCTTGAAAAGATCTAAAAAAAATATCCTCTGTATTCCTATGTATAACTTTGATCGTTCATTGTGGCCCCACCCTACTCCTCGGGAAGTCATGGTTTGAACATGGTTGGAATCTACACTACCTGAGGATTCTTCCAAATAGATAATGACTAACAATGGCTTTGTTGTTCTTGAGAAGAAGATTTTTCCTATATACTCCTATGTAAAACTTTGCTCGTCCATTGTGGCCCCACCCTACCCCCCAGGGGTAATGATTTGAACAAACTTGAATTTACACTATATGAGGATGCTTCCATATAAATATGATCAATTATAGCTTTGTTGTTCTTAAGAACAAGATTCTTAAAGATTTTTCCTATATATTCCCATGTAAAACTTTGATCGTCCATTAGGGCCCCTTCCTACGCCCGGGGGTCATGATATGATCAAATCTGAATCTACACTACCTGAGAATGCTTCCATATAAAGATCACTAATCATGACTTTAATTTTTTGAGAAGAAGACTTTTAAAGTTTTTTTTTTCTATATACACGTATTCCTATGTAAAACTCTGATCGTCCATTGTGGCACCACCCTACCCCCGGGGGTCATGATTTGAATAAACTTGAATAAACACTACCTGAGGATGATTCCACATAAGTTTTATCTTTCCTGGCCTAGTGGTTCATGAGAAGAAGTTTTTTAAAAGATGCCATTAATTTTTCACTAATTTGTAATTATCTCCCCTTGAAAGATGGCGTGGCCTCTCATTTGAACAAATTTGAATCCCCTTCACCAAAGAATACTTTGTGCCAGGTTTGGTTGAAATTGGCCCAGTGGTTCTGGAGAAAAAAAATGAAATTGTGAAAAGTTTACAACGACAACGGCAACAACGACAAAGGACAAATTTCGATCAGAATAGATCACTTGAGCTTTCGGCTCAGGTGAGCTAATTAATTTAAGACTGCTTGGGAGAAAAATTTATAGAAACGATGGCGGTGTCTATATAACAGCAGCAGTTTCTTTCTTTTTTAAATAAAAGCAACTGATGTCCATAGTTACATGTATAATCTTGTAAAGCGATAAAAGAAAGAAGCCTCAAAACACAACTCTTTACATTAATATCTCAATATGTTAAATAAACAAATACAAGCTGTTTTGATAAGTAAATTCGGGCAGTTCGTTCTAACTTTTTATCTACCTCAGGTAGGCAAATGCTCTATTGAACACGTTGAATAAATGATAGAAGTACTTGTAAAACAATCGGAGGACAGTTTTTATTGGGGACACTTTTTATTGAGAGGATGTCCTGTTCTTTACCAATATTGAAGTAAATGAAAAAAAAAATCTGCGATTCCCACTGCACGTATAAAAATACAATATTTTGCACGAGTACTAAATATCATGATATGTCTAGTAGAAGTCAAACTGTACGATGGCCAAAACAGGTAATTTTATAGGGATATGGTTTTATCAGAACTGCAAGGTCAGAACTGCAAAGTCACAATAACTGTAGATCACATGTAGATATGCTTTCTCGACGGATTGAAGTAATTCATCAAATTCCATTTTGGTGTAAATTGCTGTCACATATTGAAATTTTCTGGTTCTATCAGAGTTTTTCTTATAAAATCGGAAGCGTCTTTAATGTATGGAAATGATGACATCAGTGATCTATATTTCTTACCAGGAAATTGTTGGATGTAAATGTGCATTAAGCCCTTGATTGTAAACATACGTATAAACTAACAATAAAGTTAATCTCAAATTACAATTAAACTTATATTGCTACATGTACAATTATTACACTGACAAAATCATAAAGATTCTTACAAAAAGTAAAAAATAAAACTTTATACAAGGAAACATACCGTTAAAAAAAAAAAAAAAAAAAAAAAAAAAAAAAAAAAAAAAAACCACAATGAAAAAAATACAAAATGACAACCTTAAATATATGCTCTAAAGTTTTATTCCTTTACATAGTTATAATTTTTAGCTTTGGTGCTCTGACGTAGAACACTTGGACTTCTATATAATAGACAGAATTAAGATTTAGTTATACAAGGACAATAGGCCCGTGGACCACATCGCTCACCTGATCACATTGGCTAGGAAAAAAGAAGAAATCAGTTCAGTATTAAAAAGTTTAAATATAAAAGTGATTTGAACAAACTTAAATCTACACTACCTGAGGATGCTTCCATATTTCTTTGACTTATCATGGCTGAAGTAGATTTTCAAGAATTTCTTCTATACGTCTTCTATTGTGGCCTTGCCCTACCCCCGTGAATTTGTTTTGTGAACTCATAAATCTACACTACCTGAAGACGTTTCTGAACTAATATGACTAATCATGGCCTTGCTGTTTTTGGGGAAAAAAAATTAATTGATATATATATATATATATATATATATATATATATATATATATATATATATATATATATATATATATATATATATATATATATAAAGCACTAAAAATGACCAACGACACGAACAATAATAATTGTCAAATTTTCGGGACAACCTGTCCCTTCCTCAGGACAAAGAAAAAAGTTAAGAAGTCATAAAAACAAAGGAAATAGAGAAGCAAAAACAACTAGCACTACTACTAAACTACCAAACACTAAATATTTACAATGTTACATGTTTAAATTGGAGTTTATAAACAGTTGTGAACAAAGAAATCCGGAGCGCTATGAATTGCGTCCGGTCTATCGGGTGTATTCTGGTGAAGTCATATATATATATATATATATATATATATATATATATATATATATATATATATATATATATATATATATATATATATATATATATATATATATATATATCCTTTATTCCTTTGTATAACTTCGATCTCTTATCGCCCCTCTCTACTCTTGAGGGGTCTTGAGGGGTCGTGATTTGAACAAATATGAATCCAAAATATACTATATTAATATGACTAATCATGGCTTTGCTGTTCTTGAGAAAACTTTCAAGGATTTTTCCTATGTATTCCTATTAAAAACATTAATTGCCCATTGTGGCCCCACCCTACAACCAAGGGTTATGATTTGAACAAATTTGAATCTACACTATCTAGGATGCTACCATATAGATGTGACCAATCATGGCTCAGCTGTTCTTGAGAAGAAGGTTTCATAATTTTTTTTTCTTTTTATTCTTATGTAAAACTTTGATTGTCCATTATGGCCCCACCCTACCACCAGGAGTCATTATTTGGAGAAAAAAAATGATTCTACACTACCTAAGGATGCTTCTAACCCATTTGTTCTTGAGAAGAAGTTTTTTAAAAGATGTCATTAATTTTTACTAATAAATAATTCTCTCCCCTTGGAAGGGCGTAGCCCTTCATTTAAACAAACGTGAACTCCCTTCACGCAAGTATACTCTGTGCCAGGTTTGGTTGAAATTGGTCCATTAGTTCTGGAGAAGAAGATGATAATGTTAAAAGTTTACAAGGACAACAACGACGACGACGACAAGGAGAGATATTCTGATCAGAAAAGCCTAACTTGAGTTTTCGGCTCAGGTAAGCTATTAACGACAAAATGACGATGTTAGGCTTAACCTCTGTAAGATTTATTTTGGTAACAGGATCTCAATCTCATTAAAATGAATATCACTAAACCTGCAACTTATATCTTTCAGGTCACCTGTTTTATGTAACTTTTTCGTACCACTCGAAAGAATTTTTATAGTTTTCTCCAGTGAAAATTGTCATTGTAATAATTGTACGTGAACATATAGCATTACCAATTAAGTTGTAATTTGTCAACAAAAATTTATTACAACGCTGTACATAATGACAATATTTTTAATAAGAAAATGGCTGCTTCTCTCGGCTATTGTAAAATTGCAAGAGCATGAAATCGCGAGTAGACTTAAATGTGTATTTCAACAATAAAGGAATAAAAGTAAATAGTTTTATTTGGTGAGTGGTGCTTCTTCCTTCTTGCTATAATAACGCGATAATAAATTCTTCGTGTATATTTACGAATTTACGGTACATTTAAGAAATGAATTTAATTTTTGAAGATTCATGACGACATGAACTACGACGCTTCACGCCGGCATATTTCATGAAGCGCGTTAGCGCTTCATGATAAATATGCCGGCTTGAAGCGTGGTAGTTCATATACCTCATGAATTTTCAAAAATTAAATTCATTTCTTATATTTACATTATTTTTGTGATTAGGTGCCACAATTCAACTGTCATTTTTAAAGCGAAACAGTTTGCACTATAGTTTTGACGTCAAGTACGGCATTATGACGTAACAATGGAGATATTCATGCTCATCCATTGTAGTTCATGTTCTAATTTGCAAAGAATCTTAAGGAAACATATTTGGAAATGTAAATATACTGTATTGAGTTTGAAGCTGAATAATGCAAATAAACCATATACACATAGGAAAACAGTATAAAGGTCAATCTTATTTTTCTATAATGCATTAAACATTTTATAATAAGTTCGTATTTTATAGTTAAATGTAACCATTTGACATTTTCTGATATGTTGTTTCTTTTGGTCTAACATTGGACGTCTCTTCTGGTATATAATCATACTGATTTTCGTCAGGAGTTGTCTGACCTGTAAGACCTTCTTCTGTATCATTTTTCTTTTCCGGAAGTTCATCATACACGTTTCTGGTGTTTATGTTTGAAGTCGATGGCATTTCATATTCATTTTCAGACGGTGATGCTAAGGGTTTTTCATACATGCTGTCAGGTTTGTCTCTGCATCTAAATACAAAATAATTGTACTCTACATTAAAGTTTGTTGCTTCATGCTTTTCCAAGCAATGTGTTTACAAGTGTGAAAAAATATGGTAAAGAGGCTTTTCCAGTATATGTACCAAATCATGCTTTTCATTAATTTAGTATCAGCAGAAGCACCAAATATGTACATTTAAATAAGTTACTAAGATCCTTTTTGAAAAGCTGACGAACAGCCAGAAAGACACGAGGACGGCCATATAATCGAGTTTACAATAAAATTGGCTGTGAATCTATGGCCACTGCTGTTCTATTCAATTTAAATCAATTAAACATTTTGCATTGCATTGTGACATTATAATCACATAATGGACCAACTGCATTCTTATTGTGTTTAAAATATTGACAAAATGTAAAATCAGAATAACTGAAATGTTCATCCAATAACAAAACCGACGGTGTATTTTTTTTTTATTCAAGAATGTCTTTGAAATTATATTTACACTGGGGGCATGAAATCCTTACTGCTTACTGATATTTTGTAGGCTAAGTCATATTAATGAATAATAAGGGTATGGATTTTTTTTATCTTTATCCTCATGAAAACTTATAATGTTAAATTTTGCTAAATATCAGGAATTAAAGATTTTAAAGCTAGATTAGTTGTGTAGGAATTGTAGATGTGCAATAGTTTATGTGAATACTGATTGGATCTTCATTTTCTAGATGAACAATCTGGTAAAATCTGTTTTTTTTAAATAAGCAGATTTTTTTTTCAAAGCCTGTTACAATCCCTTTGTTGATCCAACTTGCTTGATGATTAGCATAACAAATGCACATGATTGAAAATTATAATGATTTGGATTCTTCATGTGACCTTTGTCTTATTGGCGACTTAACAGAGAGATGTTTTGGAGGGGATCTATGCCTTGCTTACTCCAGTTGTTGGATACACTCTACATCTTATAAATCTATACAAGCACAATAAATTGAATCTTATGTCTAACAGAGAATGAATCGCCAGACTATATGTTAAACATGTGTTTAACAGTCATTCTTCACAAATGCAATATAGCCTTTAGTTTATATGTTGTTCTTTGTACAACAATACATATAAACAGTTCATCCTATACTTAACAATGCAGAGTGTTGACAACACTTTCGGTCATAATTATAGTATAGCTAGTATTACAATATATCAGAGTTTCTTCAGTGACTACGCGACCAATAAGCAGTACAACCTATATATAACAATGCAGAGTGTTGAAAAACTTTTGGTCTTAATAATACTAGCTAGTATTACAATTTATTAGATTTCTTCTGTGACTATTATTACCTTTTCAATGCGATGACTGACACTGTGATTACCAGCATAGTGATGACTGCGACTATTCCAATAACGATACCTTGAGTTATTGTGAGAGAATCTTCTGTAAGAAGAGTTATTTAATGTTATCTACAACATGAATTAATCACTGCCTATCACATATGATATTAATGTGAACAAAAAATCAGCTTACTTTATTTATTCTTTCATACCTTTCTTTTTCTGGTGTGCAGACTTAATGGTACATGTGTTTGTGTCTGAAAATATATAAATCACTACATCATTGTCATCAATTAAAAAAAAATATTTTTGAATTGGAACACAGCATCGAATTCGATATTCCTGGAGCTCGAGATAACGACGCTGAAATTTGAATTACATATCCACCATATTCCACTTTTTGTAGTTCGAGAAACTGAAGTTTAACAGTTTTAAAGAACAACTAGTTCTGGATACTTACCAAAACAATACCTTTCCTCACATCGCCTGAGCGTTCTTAGACAGTACTCTGTATATAAACTGGTTCTTGATACATGTACTTACCAAAATAATACCTTTCCTCACATTGCCTGAGCGTTCTCAGACAGTAAGCTGTATATAAACTGGTTCTTGATACATGTACTTACCAAAACAATACCTCTCCTCACATCGTATGAGCGGTCTCAGACAATACGCTGTGTACAAACTACAGTTGACAACTTTAATTTCCAGTTTCTCTTCGCAGCAACTGTTTGGACCAACCTTGCATACCTCACGAGTTACTATACCATCCTTCACTTCCGGTTCAGAACCTGGAATAGAACAGTTTCTCGATTTCTCAATTTTTTAAAACTCTGAATTTGGAATCATATTCAACTATGGGTATTTGTTTAATGAACATTGAAGTCGACAGAGTTGTAAATATATTGATAGTCTCTTCATATATATATATATATATATATATATATATATATATATATATATATATATATATATATATATATATAAGTATGCAGTTTGCTAAGTTCAGTACATATCTACTAGAAAATTTTGATCTTAAAATGTTTGAGACTTTCAGAGCCTTGCACCCTATGAAATAATCTCATATGAAACTATGTAAAGTAAATGATAACTACACAATAACTGCAAAACAACTTCAAAATAACTAGATAATAACTACTTTTTACCATTCATCCATACTGGATAAACAGCTCCACATGTTAGAAACTTGGGACATCTATTCAGTATCTTAAAGCCTTTGTACCATTTCATTTCTAAATCTTGATCACATGGCCTTGATATTGATTCATAAGTACACTGGTCACTGCGATTGCCAAGATTTGGCACATTATCTAGCTGATTTCTTGCATCACACGGATCTACAAATATAAAATAGTAATGCTTGCAGAATGCAGTCGTTTTCACTGTGTTTGAGAGATATCAAATATTGCTATGATTTTGTTTGTATTGAGACTTCATTATTAAATCTTAAGCTTACCTTTACCATTTGAACAGTGGTCAAACACTGGTGAAGTCGTTGAAATAAAATCTGAGTTTTCCGTTGTCTTTTCTGTCGATTTATCAGCAGTACTAGCAGTTGTCAATTTATTGGTTGTTCTTACACTGGTTGTCGTTGTCGACTTATCAGCAGTACTAGCATTAGTTGTCGATTGACCAGCAGTACTAGCAGTTGTCAATTTATTGGTTTTACTGACACTGGTTGTCGATTTATCAGCGGTACTAACAGTTGTCAATTTATTGGTTGTTCTAGCACTAGTTGTCGTTGTCGATTTATCAGCAGTACTAGCACTAGTTGTCGACTTATCAGCGGTACTAACAGTTGTCAATTTATTGGTTGTTCTAGCACTAGTTGTCGTTGTCGATGTATCAGCAGTACTAGCGCTAGTTGTCGATTTATCAGCAGTGCTAGCAGTTGTCAATTTATTGGTTGTTCTAGCACTAGTTGTCGTTGTCGATTTATCAGCAGTGCTAGCACTAGTTGTCGTTGTCGATTGATCAGCAGTACTAGCGCTAGTTGTCGATTTATCAGCAGTACTAACAGTTGTCAATTTATTGGTTGTTCTGACACTGGTTGTCGATTTATCGTTAGTATTAACACTGGTTGTTAGTTTGTTGTCATAACTAGCACTGGTTGTTGATTTATCACTATAACTAGCTGTGGTTGTAGGTCCTGATGAACTTGTGATAGTGTTAGATTCAACACTTGTCTTTGAGCTGAGAAAGGTTGATGAGAAATCTGTGGATTTTGGAGATTCTGTTGAAAACTGAGTCTTCTCTGTACTGACCGTAGATTGTTGTGAGGTACTCTGTGTTGTGGGGTATGTGGACGATGAAGAATCCAATGTTATAGATGAACTCTTGGTTGTTGACTGCACACTTAGGGTGGTAGTTGGTTCACATTCTCCCGACTCACCTTAAACATGTTTCTGATCTATTAGGTTAAATGTTCTGGTAGCAATGTTTCTCTACACATAGTAACGATATCTTATCTTGCTTTTGTAAGTGGGATGAAATTTTTCAGTATTAAATCGTATTTTAAATTCTACGTTTAAATGTCTGGGTTTCTTTTTTTTTTTACCACATCCATCCTTGTCATTTATCATTTAAAAAACAAAAGTGTTTTGAAAGTAGAAAGAAAATAAAATACTGAGCTGCTTTCAAGATCGTAGCGGCTACGTAGCTCTTCGCAGAGTACTTTAATAATTTCTTGAACGGTATGCTAGCCTAGCCAGACCAAGCGTAGTACATTGCATACAGTGCGTCCAATAGAACTAGATATCTAACCTACCAGCTATGCTATAGCTGCTACAATCTTGTATGCAGACATGGACTTACCAAAGCAGTATCGTTCTGGGCAAGCATCAAGTGCCGGAAGACAATACGCCATGAATTCCCCACAGTGACGTATTTTTATCATCACTTGTTTAGAACAACAGCTTGAGAATCCCACTTTACAAACACTCCGGTCAACTTCCTGGTTAACTGAAACTGGGTGGCTGCCTACAAGGTACATTTTTGAATCATCTTATAAACTTCTCCGGATGACTGATATGCGGAACATGTTTATCTCAACTTTATGGTTAAATGAAATCTGATGGCTGCCAATGTGGAACATTTTATTATCATATTTTCAACTTTAAAGCTAACTGAAGCTGGGTGGCTGTCTTTGAAGCACATTTTTATATCATTTTTAACAACTTCCTGTTTAACGTAAGTCGGATGTCTGCCTATTTGGATCATTTTAATTTCATATTTACAACTTTATTGTTAACTGAAGCTGGATGGCTAGCTCTGCCTATGTGCCTATTTTAGTCCCCATTCTAGATCATATAGGAATTAGTTCACTTACCTTTTTCACAGAATTGTAGACTTGAATAGGTACTGGTTTTGAAAGCTTATACATTTTTAATACGATTAACATTATATGCCCCTAACAGCACCAGATCTCTGTTGTCAATTGGAACGAATAAGCCCGCAACCTTGAGGCGTATATCGACGAATGTAAATATACGATAAATAAGACTTTCCTCATTTTATAAGGAAAACTATGATTTAATCGTTTTAATGCATACTAAAATTCATTTAAATCAAACCGTCTTGTGTGATATATTATTGAAGGAGAAGAAAATTATAGTCAAGTCGAAATCTGAACCTATGTCATGTACTAGAAATACAATGTCAGGAAATAAACAAAATTTAATATGAAGTATATACACTATATATATATATATATATATATATATATATATATATATATATATATATATATATATATATATATATATATATATATATATATATATATATATATATATATATATATATATATATATATATATACATATATATATGTATATATGAAATAAAGTATGCAAGGTTGCAAGATTATAAAAGAATCGAAGGTCAAACTTTAACCATGTAAGATCGATTGTTTATACATATACTGTGATGTGATACATTTATAATCATATTGACTGTATGCAAGTAGGAATTTGAAATTTTTTTTTTTGATTTAAATTCACAATGAAGTGTAATCTCACTTTAGAGCAAAGACAGTGTCATGATCCACAAAACCAATTACTCAATATATCTTTTAATATTTATTTACTGCGCATCTAAAATGTCAAAAAATAGAATTTTCATACTGTTGTCACACTGTTAATTTTCTTTTTATTTGCGTAATTTTAATATTTTAATTTTTGCCTAATAACTAGTGACGTCTGCTTTCGAAATTTCAATCTGGCGTATATAAGTATTAAAAGGTTATAAAGAGCTATGACCGAAATTCGTGGAAATTTTGTCTTGATCATAAATACCAAATAAAAATCTCGCGAAAATGAGGTTTCACGAAAATTAAATGATGTACATTAATATATCTGGAACTTTACCGTTTAGCCAATATGGATAAATAGCACCACATGAGCCCAGTGAGACACACTTGTCCAGCATTGTTGTACTGTATCTGTACCAGCCTTGGGTGATATACCTGTCACAGTACTCTATATCAGCGTCATACGGACAATAAGGGTATCGGGCATTGGGCTGAAAAGGTACGTTACTTCTGGCGACCTCACAAGCATCTGACGAAATACAACAGAATTACAACTACAACGTCTATAATATCTACTAAAAGTAAAACATCTACTGGTCATGGAAACATTACAAATATCAAACAAAGATTAAAGGAGGCAACATAATAATACTACGACTGGAAAAAAAAACACACACAGCATATGTACATGTATTAGAGAAGTAAAAAAAAAAACATTAGATGGCATAGGCTTCAGTGGCTTAGCGTCCATTAAGGCAAAAAGGCAACTGCCTACAAATAATTTTTGCCAAAATTGATGTTCATGTTTTTTTCAATAATATATCAAAATATGTTATTATACCTTTACTGATTTCACCCTAAATAAAATTAGATCATTGGATGCCCTGCCGTACGTTTGCTAAGTATAGGGAGCTTTCCTTGTAGCAAAATTTTATCGGTATAAAATAAAGGTATTTTTGACGATAAAAAATTCAAATTTCTGTGGTTAATACTTTTGTTTCAGCTAATACTTTCTGCTCTCAGAAGGGCTACGTTTTGGTCTTTTTCCCAAAAATTCTTCGTGGAAAGTCCCCCACTCGCCCACTCCCCAATGCCCTCAGCACCTTCTCCCTTTAGGCTCTTCGCGCCTCAGTGTAGCATTCGGCTTCCATTTTGTGCCTACACTTATATTTGGAGCACGACATTGTTGTCAGTGTATATTCACATATCATATTTGTTACAACACTGGTTCTATAGCTAAGACTGTTATCAAAACAAGGATTTCATTTTTCTATGTACCGATTTGTCAGACAGATAAAGTATGATACAGGTTTGCTTTTTATTTGCTTTTATGGCAGACTTACTGCAGTCGTTTATTCATCCCTTTTGAATGATTGTTTCCACAGTTCAAAAGATTTCTGGTAATTGAATTTATCTTGGTTTTGAGAAATGTTTCAATTGACGAGTAACAGAAGAGGTTGCAAAGTAGATGCTAAGCATTTTGCACTTACCTTTGCCATTTGTATTACAGAAGTAGAAAGTCTGGGAATCTGAAATAGAGAACGTAAAAAAAAATATATCCTCGAATCCAATTTAATGGAATCATTTTTACATTTACTTTCTCCAGTGACTTGAATAAGAAAAATTTTTTTTTCGTAATTTTCATGTTCATCCTTTATAAAACATTTAAGTGCAGAAAGCTGTATGTCACCCAAACGTCATTATCCAAATCAAAGTGATAACAAAATATTTGACTGTAAGGAAAAAAAACTTGCAAATTAACTCAAAATTTATGAATGTCTACATATCCATCGCAAGGGTGGGCTTGGATACACGGAGGATATCCAATATTTTGTTTCTTATCACGGAATTTGACGAGAGAAACAAGATTAGAAAAATAATCATGGATTTGTAAATATGTATAAGAAAAAAATCATGCACGAGTAAAATAAATTCCATATTCATTTACAAAAATTGAATTATCGGTTTATAAATATCTTTCGTTTTGTTTACCCTAGTTGCGTTAAGTACACGTACTTCTGGTTGTTACATATATTTTAAATTACTTTGAAAATAAGTGATTTCAGTGAAGATCAATCGATAAAATAAAGTACATTTCACCGGTGAAAATTTAATAAAAAGAGTACTTTTGGCTAAATTATTCAAGTACATGCATGAAAGAGAATAATTATAGGGATAAATACTTTCCTCCTGTAGATAAAGAGTGGAATCGTAAGTGTTTATAGGATATTAATTTCAAGCTAAAACAAAAGAATGAACTTCGTTTTTTTCCCGCTAGAGTGAATATTAAATTGTAAGTAAACATGTCATAGAATTGGTACGATGTACTATGGGCGGCGGAAAGAGTAAAAAAGAGACATTAATGCACAATGGCCAATTTTCCAAAACATACTGAAATGCAAAACAGCCTAGAAAAGCAAAAAAAAAAAAAAAAAAAAAAAAAAAAAAAAAAATCACAAGACTCAATTGCAAAATTAACAGACATGCAAATTAAAACGAACGATCAACAATATTAATGCAAAACCAACAGCCATTAACTGAGTTGATGGAAGATGGCATGCCAAAAGAACAGACATAATCTGAATTTAAGCTAAATGGCACACAAGTCTGTAAATTATATAAAGCCAAAAGTTTCACCTCTGTAATTTCAAAATTGCTTATTTTGTAGATTGTTAGTTTGTGTTTTGGAAATTGTACAATCAAAGCTAGTTTATGTTAACTATCCAGCTGAACAGACCTGAGCAATTTGTAAAAGAAAGCCATATCAATGCACAACATTGTAGTTTGTAGACTTGCGATTTGTCAACATTAAATGTAAAATTTCAAACTGTTTGTTTAATATTTCAGTATGATTTTACAAAATTAATTCTTTGAGCATTAGCATCTTTTTATATTTTCCGCCGCATACTACATCTTATTAAAAAAAATTAAAACACGGAAGGTAAATATGAAAAAAAAAATGGAGTATTCTGCACCGTTTGAGTAACTGGGTCAGTAACTCTTAATTCATCGCAAAAAATCTTTAAAGTTTTAAAAAACCAACTTCTTAAATACTTTAGATTTGTTAATCAAATATAAAGACGGAAGGTGTAAAATACAAATGGAAAATTCAGAAATTACTGTACTTTTAGTTCTTCCTTATCATTTGCTCCTTAAACAAATTGAAAAAAATTCTTATTAAAAGTACATTCCATTATTAATGATTCCATTACTTTCTACGTTGAATAACTTCCAGATCTTCCAATATAACTAATATTGCGGTATCAAGCGTATTTAATCATTCCTTAGGCGTTCTTGAGACTTGGACTTAAATACACCAAAGTCATAGAAATCTACTAGACAGAAATTCCAAATTTAAATTCCATTTATCCATTTTATTTTCAAGATCACTTCTTTAAAAATGTTGTTCCAGAAAAAATCTTGTCATGGTGTAAACTTTCATAGCTATGAGATGAAAAAGTACAGCCAACTTTCTTGAATTCAGTTGTCAAACAGAAAATTGTTATTGGACAATAAGACTAAGTCTCTCTCTCTCTCCAAAATACTTTCTTAAATCGAAAATTTCAACTATTACCTCATGTCTACTGCAGTGGCTGAAATATAGCGATGCTTCTGATATTAAAACAGAATATGGCTATTTAAATGATATACTTAAATAATTTATTTTATATTTATAAACAGTATGTTGTGACACATTCTTTCAACACAATAGATAAATCATTGTTAATACCTATACACTAAAGGTAGAAACGAATTAAAAATAATTGAAATTAGAAATAATTACAATTCAGAGTATTAGTTCTTATTTAATATTCATTTATAAAGTATGTTAATTAAATATATAATTTTTTGTCAATGTTTCATTAGGATAAAAAAATTTCGATACAAAGTTTAACATGTTTTTAAACCTACCTATTGTTGTAAAGACCAGGACTAGAATCAGTGGCGATAACATTTCGCAGTCTGTCATTGAAACCAAATATGGTACATGTATGTATCTAAATTTCACGTAAGAACATCCGTCAGTATTTTATGAATTCTGATTTTAAATTCCAAAAGCACAAAGTAAAAACTCGTCAGTTGTAGAAAAACATAGTCCCCCGCGAAATGTCTTAGCAGTCAAAATTCTCATTCTGATGTCAAGTCATCCGGGCATTTAACTTAACAAGGAAGTTTACACTGCCATGAAGAAAAAATAGACTATCATTAATGTAGGTTTTTAAATATTTCCGAGGTCAACTACGGGAATTAGAATCAAATTTTCTATATACTTATATACATTTGATTTCAATCGTTCTAAACAGGAGAAATGTAGGTAGTAAAAGATGTCTAGTTTCACCTTATACATATTAATGTGGATATGACATATCACCGGGTTTTTATGATTGTTTTGAAAATAAAAGATCATTTGTTCAGAAAAAAACATATTTTTCGCACGAATGATCAAGGTTAATGAAGGATTTTCCACTATTTGAGGATTTTTTACAGAGCCTTACATCAAAACATGTATTAGTGATTTAAAAAAAAGACGTGCTTGAAAGAAAACAACATTACATCATTGGAGAAATATAAAAGCTCAAGTATAAAATAAGAGAATAGCAGTTTTAACATGTAAGCGTATTTATTTGTAAAAACAAGAAGATGTAAATTAATTCATTATTTATGTCATGTTTATACATGAACACAGTATTTGCATTAATTACAATAGCAATATATATGCATAAGATGATTATTAATGTAATACATATATCTTATAATTTTAATTTCAATAAAATGAAATGAGTAACAAATTCCCTGGTTGGCGGGTAGACTGGTCGACAGGTCGACAAGTTGTCATGTCGCCGGGTCGACAAGATGACAGGTCGCCCGGTTGACATTTCGACATGGAGACAGGTCGACGGATCGACAGGTAGATAGATTGGTTGACAAGTTAACAGGTTGACAGGTAGACTGATCTTCAGGTAAACTGATCAACTGGAGACAGATCGACGGGTCGTCAAGTAGACAGGTCGACAGGTTGACGGGTCGATAGGTAGGCAGGTTGACAGGTCTATGGGTCGACAGGTAGACAGATCGGCAGGTGGACAGGTCGACAGTTCGACGTATAGTATTCCAAATAGAAATGTATACGATAATTTGATGTTTGATATTGCCCATCATTAAATAAGGATCAAATGTACACCGAATTATTATTTTATCTTAAAGATGTTGAAATGTAAAACTGTAGAACTACATGTGTCTATTTGTCGACCTGTCAACTTAAGCTTGTGTCTATATGCCAACCTTTTCATGTCGACCTGTCAACTTATTTCGGTCTGATGACCTGTCAGCTGTCAACCTGTCGACCTGTTTCTATATGTCAACCGGTCAAACTGTCAAACTAGGTATATCTTTTTGTCAAACTGTCAACCTGTTAACCTGTGTAACTTCTGTATTAGAATTAATATGCTTCATATAATCATGTATGTTAATTCAGTTTTAAAAGCTTGAGGATTTACGTAATTAGATAATGAATTTAAACCGACTCACTCATCGTCGAACGAATGGGACTATTTTTGTCTTATTCTGTACTTGACATCTGTCGCATATTTTTATGAACTTTGTAAATGTATTTTTATTTTTAAATCAGATCTATGGAGCTTAGGAAACCCATTGGTTTTCAAAGATTTGAAACATTTTCTGTATTGCAAATACATATTTAATTACTTTAATGAAGCAATCAATAGAATGATATATATATCTACTACAGTTCTAAATGATAAAGCAGACTGATAATTTCAAATAGAACTGTATTCTGCATATCTTTTTCGATACATTGCCATTTAAAATTTCTAAAATTCACTTAGAGAGTCCAGTAAGTTAAGAATGGAAGCGCGATTATCATAATTTATTATCAAACCGCTTTAATTTGTATATTATAGAATAAAAGAATGATGCCACAGCATTGATTTACCGTATGTTATGTACAATTTCATGTTTAAAAGCATTGAATTCTTTTCTTATTTTTGGATGTCGTATAACAGCACCTGGCTGCGCGGGTATTTTAAAGTTACTCCCAGATATCCTACTTGTCTATATAATATGACGTCATAGTAAGCTGTATGACGTGAACTTAATAGATAATGATTTCTTAATATCTGTATTCAAAGTTTCATTTCAGGTCCAAGAAATGAATAAACCATTCAAAAACATAATATAAACTAAATCTCGTCGTTTTGGGGTGGTATAAATAGCTGCGTATTTAGCACAGGGGTTAAAAACCAAACCCATGACGTCATAACTATTGATCAAATATTTGCCGAGTGAAATTTAAACGTGACTAGAATTCATGTAAACAAATATATGAAATGGGAGTTTTAAAGCATATAAGGTTTAGGTTAGGATGTATAAAAATCCCCCTCACAATCATATATCTGCTCTACAGTATCCACTGGTTATCGAGAACTATATTAATGCTGGTTTATCTACTGACAGAATTGCTGGGCCATTCAGGCACCATCCATTTCTACAGTTTAAAACTTTTCCTTTAGGCGTTGTCCCCAAGTCTGAACCCAATAAGTTTAGAATTATTCATGATCTCTCATACCCTATGCAGGACTCTATAAATTCCAACATACCAAGAGAAAAAAGCGAAGTTCATTATGAATCTATTGATGACGTTGTTGCTCTTGTTCGTAAATTTGGTAAAGGGTCCCTCATGGCAAATTCAGACATCAAAGATGCATTTCATGTAATGCCGGTAAGTTATGTCGATAGCCATCTTCTTGGTTTCGGATGGAAAGGACATGATTATTATGAACGTTGGTTTTCAATGGGTGCTAGCTGTTCAAGTCAAATATTTGAAAAACTGAGTGAGGCATTACAGTGGGTTATGCTTTATAAGCTTGGTGCTTCTTGTCACACATTTTGGATGACTTCTTTTTCATGGGCCCGGCAGGTTCAGACAAATGAAAGGATGATTTAGACAACTTCCTTTCATTGTATGATAGAGTCAACATGCCTATTAACAAAGAGAAAGCATCTAGTCCCGTTACTTGTCTGACGATTTATGGCATTAAAGTAGATTCTCAAGAGATTGTAAGTCGTTTACCTCAAGAAAAAATTGTGAAATGTCGCAACCTCCTTCTGTAAAATTGTAAGAGAATAAAAAGGTCACTTTAAAGGATCTTCAGTCTTTGATAGGTCTTATAAACTTCGCTTGTTTAGTTATAGTCCCTGGAAGAGCTTTTCTACGTCGTTTGATTGATTTGACTGTAGGTATAAAAAACACTCATCACTATATTCGCCAATTTTTCACTTTATTTTTCTTAAAAGGTTTGATTTTCTTGTTTTATAATATGTACTTTTTTCTATTCATTTTTTGGAGATGAGATAATTTCATATTTTGCGTAATTTATATTCAGAACTTGTGCTTGTATGTAAAATTATTTACAGTGATATCGTCATTTGAATCATCTCTATGAACGTGTTCCAGTCAATTTTAAATATACTAAGCCAAAAAAAAAAAAAAAAAAAAAAAAAAAAAAAAAAAAAAAAAAGAAAGCTGTTGGAGCCTAATGAGCATTAGTAAACATACATTAACAATTGTTACTTCTATTCATATGTCGACTGGATATATCCCAGTGAACCTGAAATTAACGTCTCCAAGGATTCTGCCACATCTGTTTCATATTTGGATGTTTTACTGACTATAAACGATAAGGACCAACTAACAACTAAATTGTATGACAAAGGAGATGACGTCAGCTTTTCCATCGTCAATTTTCCTTAATAATGTAGTAATATTCCGCTATCACCCACATATGGTGTTTACCTATCCCGACTTCGATACTGAAGAGCATGCATAGAGTACGATCAATTTTTAAACCGAGGCAGGCTACTGACAGATAGGTTGATGTTATAGGGATTTCAATAACCTCGTTTAAAGTTTGGATTTCATAAATTCTATGATCGTTATAATGACTTTCTTAGCAAATACAACCTATCATTGGGTCGTATTATGGTTGACGTGTTTCATACCAATTGTTAGGCCTTTATATTTATACTAAATTTGACAGCGAAATGTTCCATCTACCTTATTAATTCATAGGGCTCACGACAGATGTGATCGGTCGACAGGGGATGGCTACTCCTCGTAGGCACTTGATCTCACCTCTCGAATTTCCGGGGGTCCGTGCTTTATTCCCTGTTCACAGATTTGTATTGTTTGTAGATTTTTTTGAGATCGAACACTGTTCGTTATCTTCACCTTTTTCTATTTGAGAAATTCACAGACATTTCTATTTTTAATCACCATGCTAAAGCTGTTCGTAAAAGTAAAAAAAAAAGTACGAACATTAATGCGAAAGAAGAGATAGTCAGACAGGCGACAGACTCCTTACCATCACATAAGCTCTTCTTGTCTTTGACTGGTAGATCTACATATATATGTAATAAAAAAGAAAATATAGGTATTGAAATTTTCCCAGGGAGCATTTTGTGTCGCCTGCAGAGCAGAGCGGTACTTAGGGATCACTTTGCCTGGTGTCTGTCTGTCTTTCTGTCTGTCTAGCTGTCCGTCTGTCACACCTTATATCTCAACACTGTAAGAGATATGGATTTGATATTTTGCACATGGATTGGTTGGCACTATGGCTTTTGTAAAGTACCATGGTTACTTACCTTCTGACTCTTGACCTTGACCTCTTCTCAAAATAGTTCACAGTACCGATATACAGCTTATTTTTGACATTTAAGAGATAAATCTATGCTATTTAGCATGTGCACTGTTTGTCATAAGACATTAGAAAAAGAACAGCATTACAATTCTCTTGACCTTGACCTTTGACCTATTTTGCAAAAATTCCCCGGGCAGTTTAATTTAATTTATAAATTTTGAATTTTGAGAGGCAGGATTTTGATAATTAGCATTCATACATGTTTATGAGTTCATAATACTGTACTTTTAACTGTATG